CTAAGAGAAACTGAATCTGGCCACTCCTAGGAGACTGGGGAGTGATTGCTTCCAGCAAAGAACTGATCAGCTCAGGGAGTGTCACTAAACCCCTGCCCAGAGCTGGTTGTGTCTCTTCACCTGCCGTCTTGCTTTTCAGCCAAGCATCAAATTCAGAAACGCAGCTGCTCTTTCAGAGACTTGCATCTATCTGGTTCAGAACAATACCACATGCAGGACAGCATCAGCTCCATTCTGGGCCACAGGAAACAGAAAAGAAAATGGGAAGCAAAGACATTCAGAGGAAAAGAGGAGAAGCAGAAAGAAGTGAAGAAAACCAGAGGATTGCGGTGGGTATTTTCCACTTAGCACACTGCATATTAAGTGTAGAAGGACCAAAAAAACCCAAGTTTTGGTTCTAAAATGAGCTGCTTCCCCACTCTAGGAAGACTGCCAAGGGATGCATCTTGTTGGAAAGAAAGCCACTGCAATGGGCTCTGCCGTGCTGCTGTGGGGAGAAGCAGGAAGCTTGGAAAAGAGGAATGAAATCACTCCACACGAAGCCCTCAGAGGCCATCCCCAACAGGGCCAGGGAAACGTGCAGCTTTGTTTTCTTGAGGCAAGCTTCCTTTTCTGTGCTTGACACCGATTTAGATTGCTGTCACGAGGAACTGCTCTTCGTCTCAAGAGAGTGAGTGTGTTGAGTTTTGTCCAGGAGCTACCCACTGCTCCCAGGAATAGAGCTGCAGAAGCAAACTGAGAAATGGAGCGGGCCAATCTTGACTGTCACTATGGCAAGGGGCTCCCCAAATAACATGTTTAGCTACGGAGTCCTTATTACGTGCGGGCTGCTCCTCTGAGGGCTGTATCTGCATTCACTACTTTGTTTCTCACAATAAAATCTTAGATAACTATTCCTCCAACCTTACAGGGAAGGAGAGGCTAAAGAACCTGCATGAGATCACTCAGGGACAAGTAGAAAAGCTGGGTTGAACCCAGGCAATCAACCTCAGATACCAGGATTTTGGCTTTTTATTTTAACTTTTAAAAATTCTTCTTTATTTTTATCTAACTTAAAGAGAGACAGAGACAGATCCCACCTGCTGGTTCACTCCCCAAAAACTCGCAACAGCCAGATTGGGCCAGGCTGAAGTCAGGGGTCTGAACCTCAATCTGGGTCCCCCACGTGGGTGGCAGGGATCCAAGCCATCACCTGCTGCCTTCCAAGGTGTGCATTAGCAGGAAGTTAGACTGGAAGCGGAGCCAGGACTCGAATCCAGGCACTTGGATGTGGGATGTAGGTGTCCCAACAAAGACTACAAAGGCATTTTAATCACTTCACTGTCCCGCACTCTTAAGAGGAAAGGAACTGGAGGCTGCTCCTCCTGCTGCCCTGCCTTGTATGCCCCTCTCCTTGCTCCCGCCAGTCCTGCAAAGCATCTCCTGTCTCACCTACACCTGCTTGAAACACTCAGCCGGGCCTTGGGATTATAATGGCTGGGAGGGTTATCCTGGTAGCTGGGGAAAGGCACTAGAGATGGGGAGATGAGAGAAAGCAAGCTTTGCAGGCAGAAGGTAGAGGGGAGAGACAGAACTGAAGAGCACAGGGAGAAGGGGCGTCACTGTTAGTGGGGCTGAGGAAGAGTGGGGAGCAGGTTTGGGGGGTGCATCCTTCTCCCACCACCCCTTCCTCTGAAGCGGCAGTGTCCAACCAGGGCGCAAGTGGGCCTGGAGGCAGTCTGCGTGTGGCAGGGCCCCATGCCTGACCCTCAGCACAATGCCTAGAGTTTGTGATGGTTGAATACACGAATGCACCAACTTTGTAACTATGCTTTACATCTCGTTTTCCTTGTTTTGGTCACATATTGAGTTTTCTTGCTGCTGTGACATGCAGATTCCAGCCTTTTGTTCAAGCTTTTCCCCAGTAACAAAGCATCTGGAGTAGACATGAAAACATCTGTCTCTAGTAAAAGACCACGTGTCTGTTCTGTGAACATCTCTGCAGAAACAGAAGATCTAGCATGAATCGTATTCCACCTGTCCTACTTCTTTCCTGCCAACCCCACCAGTCGCACCTCTTGCCTTGCCATCACAATCCTTGTCATGGAATAACTTCTGGTTTCACTTGATCAGTAAACTTAAGAATAAGAAAGAGGGCAAGCATTTGGCACAGCGCTTGAGACACTCGCATCCCACATTAGGGTACCTGGTTCAAGCCATTGCTCCTCCTCACTACCAATCCAGCTTCCTGTTAATGCACAGTAATATGGGAGTCAGCATATGATGGCTCAAGTATTTGGGACCCTGCTACCCAGATGGGGTTCCAGGTTCCTGGCTTCAGCTGGGGCCTGGCCCAGCCCCAGCTATTGCAGTCATTTGGGGAATGAATCAGCAGATCGACGATCTCTCTCTTTCTGTCTTTCTCTCTCTCTCTGCTTTTCAAAGAAAAGAAAAGAGAACAGTATTAGAATTTGATCAAACAATTCTACTTCTAAGTTTATAAGAGTAGAAAATGTGAGACTTTGGTCACCAAAATTACAACTTGGGCTGGAAAACTCCCATTTGTCATGTTCACTTTAAATCTTTTTTTAAAAGATTTATTTATTTATTTGAAAGTCAGAGTTACACAGAGAGAGAGAGAGAAAGAGAGGTAGGGAGAGAGAGAGAGAGAGAGAGGTCTTCCTCTCTCTGGGGTTCACTCCCCAGATGGCCACAATGGCTGGCGCTGTGCTGATCTGAAGCCAGGAGCTTCCTCTGGGTCTCCCATGTCGGTGCAGGGGCCCAAGGAACTTGGGCCATCTTCTACTGCTTTCCCAGGCCATAGCAGAGAGCTGGATCAGAAACAGAGCAGCTGGGACTCGAACTAGCGCCCGTATGGGATGCCGGCACTGCAGCTGGTGGCTTTACCAGCTATGCCACTGTGCCGACCCCACTTTAAATCTTAATATGTTTGAATAAAAGAAATGCACCATTGCAGTTAAAGCTGAAGTCTCTTCGACTTGCAGTCTCAGAGGTGTTGCCCTCCCCTCATCCCTCAGATGATCAGGCACTGTGTACTTTTAACTCTTTCCGTGAATTCTGAGTCCCAACAAGATTGAGTTCCTTCTTCTGGTTCCTCTTCTGTGTTACCAGCCCACTTTTCTATTCTGATGTCCTTTACTAACTTTAGAATACTATGTACTAGGATATTTACCACTTTTGTCATATTTATTAAAACTGTTTTCCTCATTTTTTCATATAGATTTATTTTATTTATTTGAAAGGCAGAGATAAAGAGAAATAGTGAGAGAGTAAGAGAGAGAGAGACAGAGATCCATCTTCCCTCCACTGGTTCACTACCCAAATAACCACAGTGGTCGGGGCTGGGCCAGGCCAAAGCCAGGAGCCTGGAACTCCATCAGGCTCTGCCACGTGGGTGCAACGGGCCCAGATACCTGGGCCATCTTCCCTGGGTGTCCCAGTCAGGGAGCAGGATCAGAGTGGAACAGCCAGAACACAAACTGGCACTCATAGTGGATGCTGGCATCACAGGTGGCACAACGCTGGCCCCTTTTCCCTCACATTTTTTCTTCACCTACTTTATGGTGCCTTTTGCCTCATTGAAAATAGTAATTTTTATGTCATCAAACATATCTGCTTTTTCTTTCATTGATCTGGGTTTCTGTCTGGCTCAGAGGGATCTCTCCACCCCAAGGTCACACAAATATTCTCATATTTCCTTCTAATGTTTTCCTTTGTGTATTTAGACTCATTTGCAAAGGCTCATGTCAGATACTACATAGGACACATATGAATACCCTGGAGTAGACAGGATGTTTTCTCTGTAGGAGAAAGGAGATTGGAAAAGATGTTGGAGTCAATTTGTCATCAAACTTTTCACATACAGTTAATGAAAAAGAAAGGTATATAGCACTGAAAATAATCTAGGAGCTGGCATTGTGATGCAGTGGGTTAAGCCATCACCCATGATGCTGGTATCTCATATCAGAGTACTGGTTTGATTCCTGGCTGCTCCGATTCCAATCCAGCACCCTGCTAATGGCCCTGGCAAAGCAGCCAAAGATGCCACAAGTGCTTGGGCCCTTACCACCACATGTGAGACCCAGGTGGAGTTCTAGGCTCCTGGATTTCACCTGGTTCTGCCCAGCCCCAGCCATTGTTGCCATTTGGGGAGTGGACCAGCAGATGGAGGATATCTTCCTCTCTCTGTCTCTTCCTTTCTCTGTCACTCTGCCTTTCAAATAAATAAAACTTTTTAAAAAAAATAATAATTAGTCCAGCAGCTAGATTACTATTTTCTGTATTTCAAAAGATTTATTTATTTATTTACTTGAAAGGCGAAATGACAGAGAGAAAGAGAGAGAAATGTTCCATTTGCTGATTTACTTCCCAAATGCCCACAATAACTCCTCTTGACTGGACCAGGTCAGTCAAGAGCCAGGAACTCCATTCAGGTCTCCCATATGGGTGGCAGAAGCGCAAATACTTGGTCCATCATCTGATGCCTCCCAGGTGCATTAGCAGGAAGCTGGACCAGAAGTGTGGAGTATCTGAGACACAAATCCAAGCACTCCGGTATGGGATGTGGATGTGGGAACCCCAAACAGCAGCTTAACACCCTGCATTACAAAGCCTGCCCCTACTACTTTATATGTTAGCAGGAAGCAGAAAAATCTTGACTATTTTATAAAATGAAATCAGAGGAGGACTCTAAAACTTTTATTTATTCATTTATTTATTTATTTGAGAGGGAGAGTCTCCACATACTGCAATAGTTGCGGCTTGGCCAGGCCAGAGCCAGGAGCCTGGAACTCCATGGGGTCTCCCATGTGCGTGGCAGGAACCCAATTACTGGAGCCATTACCTGTATCTCCCAGGGTCTGCATTAGCAGGAAGCTGGAATGTGGAGTGGAGCCAGAACTTCACTCAGGTACCAGAAGAGTATGCTTAATCCATGATTCTTCCGCCACTGTTACTTGGAAAAGATGGTAATCCTTGGCAATATTCTCATTTCTTTCCAGGTAATGATGAAACCTAAGGATGAGTATTGATAATAGCTGAAATGTAAGTACTAGAGAAAGCCTTTTTTTGTCACTCAGTATTTACCAATGCTAAGCTCTCCCTGTTTCATTCTCATCAAACCTTCCCTCAAAGGCAAAGTACTGGGGCCAGTGTTGTGATGTAGCGGGTTAAGCCATATGGGCACTAGTTTGAGTCCCTGCTGGTCCACAGCTGATCCAGCTCTTTGCTAATGCACCTGGGAAAGCTGCAGAGGATGGCCAGAATGCTTGGGCCCCTGCACCTGCATGGGAGACCTGGAGGAAGCTCCTGGCTCCTGACTCCTGGCTTCTGGCTTCTGGTTTCTGGCTTAGGCCTTGCCCAGCCCTGGCCATTGTGGTCATTTGGGGAGTGAACCAGTGGATGAAAGACCTCTATCTCTATAACTCTAACTTTCAAATAAATAAAATAAATCTTAAAAAAGAAAAAAGCAAAGTACTGTGGCCAGAATTGTGGTGTAGTGGGTTAAGTCATATGACTCAAACAGCCATTTGAGTCATGATAATGGCCCGGGAAAGCAGTGGACACGGCTCAAATGCCTGGGCTCCTGCGCCCATGCAGGAGACCCAAAAGAAGCTCCTGGCTCCTTGTTTTGGCCTGGTTGAGCCCCAGCCCCTTTGGGAAGTAAACCAGCAAAAATAAGGCCTCTTCCTCAGTCTGTAACTGTTTCTTTCAAATAAATAAATCTTAAAGGAAAAAAAAAAGTAACGTGCTTCTTAATAAAGGACAGGAAATGGAGGAAATGAGGTCACTAAACAAAAATTATCTTCACTCCCACTACCAACTCTCCTGTAATACACAGGATATGATTTCAGACTCTTCCAACAAGGGCTAAAATGCACCATCACCCTTAACTGAAAGTCATCTTGAGCCCAGCTTGCATTTCTGAGTGCGGAGTTTACACTTAACCTATGAAGCTACTCAGTCTTTGAGGAAGTCTCACCCTCACTGCAGGTGGTTTCATCAGCCAGCCATAAATGGAACATGCTCAGGAGAGGCCAGGCTTAATCACAATCTCCGGTTGCTGTTTCTGCTCGCCCCCTTCTGGCTGAGTAAGCTCTCGTCACTCAATTATAGATTTTACTAACTGCAGCTGAGGACAAATGCAGACACTGGCTGTCAGCCATGGGAAGAAAAAGCACATTTTGAAAAAATAAAATGTTAACTATCGTTAGGTCATGTTTCAACATTTGGTAGTAGAAAAATCAACAACCCATTCCACCTCTCCTGATGTTTTCTCATGGATTGACTGGGGTTTAGAAAACAGTGATTTTTTGCAGGGATGGCTCAATATACACAAATCAATAACTGCGATACATCACATTAACAAACTGAAGAACAAAATCCATATGGTTATCTTAATAGATGCAGACAAAGCATTTGATGAAATAGAATACCCTTTCATGATGAAAACTTTAGCAAATTGTGCATAGAAGGAACATTCCTCAACACAATCAAGACAATTTGTGACAAACCCATAGCCAGCATAGGATTGAATGGAGAAAAGTTGGAAGCATTTCCACTAAGATCCTGAACCAGACAAGAATGCCCACTTTCACCATTGCCATTCAATATATTCCTGGAAGTTTTAGCCAGAACAATTAGGTAAGAAAAAGAAATTAATGGGATACAAATTGGAAAGGAGGAAGTCAAACTATCCCTGTTTGCAGATGACATGATTTTATATATAGAGGAACCAAAGATTCCACTAACAGACTATTGGAATTCAAAAAATAATTTGGTAAAGTTGCAGGATATAAAATTCACACACACAAAAAATCAATAGTCTTTGTATACACAGACAATGCCAGGGCTAAGAAAGAACTTCTAACATCAGTCCCATTCACAATAGCTACAAGGAATTTAAACACCTTGGAATAAATTTAATCAAGGAGGTTAAAGATTTCTATGATGAAAATTACAAAACATTAAAGAAGGAAATATAAGGAACCAGCGCTGTGTCCTGATAGGTTAAGCCTCTGCCCACAGTGCAGCATCCCGTATAAGCATCAGTTCAAGTTCCAGCTGCTCGACTTCTGATAAAGCTCCCTGATAATGGCCTAGGAAAGCAGTGGAAGATGGCCCAAGTGCTTGGTCCCCTGCTCCTGTGTAGGAGATCCAGAATAAACTCCTGTCCTGGCTCCTAGTTTCAAATTGGCCCAGTTTCAGCCCTTGCAGCCATTTAGGGAGTGGACAAGTGGATGGAAGACCTCTCTCTGTCTCTCCCTATTTCTGTCTGTAACTCTGCTTCTCAAATAAATAAGTAAATATTTTTTAAAACAAAAAAAGGAAATAGAATAAGACACAAAGAAGGAAAAATCTGCCATGTTCATGCATTGGAAGAATATCATCAAAATGTCCATACTACTGAAAGCAATTTACAGAGTCAATGTGATTCCAATCAAAATACCAATAACATTCTTCTCAGATCTAAAAAAAATGATGCTAAAATTCGTATGGAAACACAAGATATCCTGAATAGCTAAAGCAATCTTAAACAACAAAAACAAAGCTGGAAGCATCACAATACCAGATTTCAAGACAAATTATAGGGCTGTTATAATCAAAACAGCCTGATACTGGCACAAAAATAAGCATGTAGAGCAACTGGAAAAGAATAAAAACTCCAGAAATCAATCCATACATCTACAACAAACCAGACTTTGACAAAGGAGTTAAATCAGTCCCTGGAGAAAGGACAGTCTCTTCAACAAATGGTGCTGGGAAAATTGGATCTCCACTAAAACTGACAAATGGGATTGCATCAAACTGAGAAGCTTCTGCACTGCTAAAGAAACACTCAGCAAAGTGAAGAGGCAAGTGACAGAATGGGAAAAAAAATTTTGCAAACTATGAAACTGATTAATATCCAGGATCTATAAAGAGCCCAAGAAACTCAACAACAACAAAACAAACAATTCAGCTAAGAAATGGGCAAAGGACTTGTTAGGAAAAGAGGCACAGAATAGAGAGGAGGCAGTGTATGAATGTACAGCCAAACCAAATTTGTTCAGAGAAAATAAATCCACAGAGGTGGGTGATCAACTGTCCCATGCACATTGATGGAACACATGCAGAAGGCCCCCACACCCAGGGGCCAGGCCTTTATATATTTTAGGAGGGCTGGGGATAGGGGTGAGGTAGCGGGCAGCAGGCAGAGGGGAATTTCTGGAACTGGTCTTTCAAGTGTTCTGAGCAACTGGCTGTGGGGGGTGGAGTATGAAGGCAACAGGGTGTGAGATCCAATTGAGATTCAAGGGCAAGGGATACATTCCAATGTTTATCTCTTTTAGGCAATGAGGGAGAATGGCTGAGGTTTATGTCCTTATTCCATCAGGACTTGAACAGGCATTTTTCAAAAGAGAAAATTCAAATGGCCAATAACATTAAAAAATGCTCAGGATCACTAGCCCTCATGGAAATGCAAATGAAAACCACAATGAAGTTTCACCTAATCACAGTTAGAATAGCTCTCATACAGAAATCAACAATCAATAAATACTGGTAAGGATGTGGGAAAAAAAGTATCATAATCTACTATTGGTGGTAATATAACCTAGTACAACCATTGTGGAATACAGTATGGAGATACCGCAGAAGCTAAAAATAGATATACCATGTGAGCCAGCAATCCCACTCCTGGGAATTTACCCAAATGAAATGAAATCAGCGTATGAAAGAGTTATCTGTACCCCTGTATTTATTGCAGCTTGGTTCACAATACCTAAGATATGGAATCAACCCATATGTCCATCAACTGATGACTGGATAAATAAACTGAGGTATATATATAGTATAGAATACTACTCAGCCATAAAAAAGAAAGAAATCCTGTCTTCTGCAACAAAGCAGATGCAACTAGTAACCATTATACTTAGCGAAATAAGCCAGTCCCAAAAAGACAAATATCATTTGCTTTCCCTGATCTGTAGTAACAGAGTACCAAAAAATGTGATGTATAGGAGTGAAATTGACATTTTGAGATTCAATTATTGTTTATAGCCATTGTCCCTACTGTTGAGGTACAGTGTTTTTTTTCTTACTATTTGTTGAACTCTTTACTTAGTGTAGGGTTAATCCTATGAGTATAAAGTAAACTGAAAGTAGATCACTGTAAAAATTAAGAGAAGGAATAAGAGAGGAAGGAGGAGGAAGAGTGGGAGTATGGGCAGGAGGGAGGGAGGGAAGTAACAATGTGTTCCTAAATCTGTATATATGAAGTACATGGCATATGTTCACCTTAAAATTTAAAAAAAAAAATTAAAAAAGAATAAATGGGGCCAGTGCTGTGGCACAGTAGGTTAATTCTCCCCCTGCAGCACCAGCATCCCATATGGGTGCTGGTTCTAGTCCCGGCTGCTCCTCTTCCAATCCAGCTCTCTTCTATGGCCTGGGAAAGCAGTAGAAGATGGCCCAAGTCCTTGGGCCCCTGCACCCACATGGGAGACCTGGAATAAGTGCCTGGCTCCTGGCTTTGGATCAGCGCAGCTCTGGCCTTTGCAGCCATTTAGGGAGTGAACCAATGGAAGGAAGACCTTTCTCTCTGTCTCTCCCTCTCACTGTAACTCTACCTCTCAAATAAATAAATAAAATATTTAAAAATTTTAAAAAGAATAAATAAAACTAATAAACCACTTAAAATTTTAAAAATTTCCTTATTTTATATATGCATTTATTTATTTGAAAGAGAAAGGTAGATATTCTATCCATTGGCTCACTCTTGATTTCTTTATAAAATGTATTCATTTATTTATTTGAAAGGCAAAGGTTCAAAGAGAAAGTGAGAGACAGAGATCTTTTACCCTCTGGTTCCCCAAATGGCCACAATGGCTGGGGCTGGACCAGGCCAAAACCAGGAGCCCACTGCTCCATCTGGATCTACTGCATGGGTGACAGGAGCCCAAGTACTTGATCATCTTTCACTGCTTTCCCAGGCACATGAGGAGGGAACTGGATCAGAAGTGGAGCAGCCAGGACTCAAACCGGTGCTTGTATGTATGGAATGCAGGCATCACAGGCAACGACTTAATCTGCTGTGCCACAACACCAACCCCCCACGCCCTGTGTGCCTGCAACAGTTAGGGCTACATCAGGCCAAAACCAGGAGCCAGAGAATCAGTCCAGGTCTCCGACTCAAGTAATTTGAATCATCACCTACCACCTCCCAGAGTGCACATTTGAAGGAAGTTGAATCAGAAGTGGAGCTAGGACTTGAATCTAGGCCCTGCAATATGGAATGCAGGATCCCAAGTAGAGTCTTAACCACCACACCTAATGCCCACTCCAGTGACGTTTTGGGTGGACTTTTCATTATAGCTATATAAAATCCTTTCTTGAATCCTTTCTTGATCTCCCATAGAGATCTGAGAAAACATGTTTAAGTGAAAAGAACCAAAGCCGGACTGAGGACAGGTGGTGCTCAGAACTCCTCACCAGATTATTTCTCTCCCTTCCCCTTTAAGGAGGAAGCAGCCACAGCCTCTTTACTTTGGCTCCCCGGCTTGGTTTATAAGGTTAGTCAAACACCCTGTGCCACAGAGCACCTGGGTTAATGATTTATCTAACTGGGGTAAAAGCCATATGCTACTGCAAGGCTGCATTTTGTTCTGTTTTTCCAAACTAGTTAGCTATTGCATACCGAGGAGGTAGATCAATGCTGTGTCACTAGACTGTGTGTGTTCTGTTCACAGTGCTGTTAGGAGCAGCAGCTAAGCACTTCCCCTTTGGATAGCACTGTGGTGTTTCTGATAACCCTGGAAGGAAAAAAGGAAAAAGTGACCCAAGGAAACAAAATCAGGTAATACTTAAATTGGATCAGATCTAAGAGCTGAGGATTTTTAAAATGCATTTGATAGGCAGAAAGAGAGGGAGAGAGAGAGAGAGAGAGGAGGGAGGGAGGGAGGGAGGAAGGAAGAGAGAGAGAAAGAGAGAGAGAGAAAGAGAGAGAGAGAGAGAGAGAGAGAGAGAGAGAGAGTTCCCATTGCTGTCTCACTCCTTCACTCCCCAAATGCCCACAAGGGCCCACAAGAGCTGGACCAGGGACGAGAAACTGAATCCAGGTCTCCCACAGGGTGGCAGGAACACAACCACTCAAACCATCACTGCTGCCTCCCAGGGATCTGCACTGGCAGGAAGCTGGCATCAATCAATTCCAGTATCCTAACTGCTATAGTAAAGGCCTGCTCCATAACATTTTAAAGTAAATTTTTATTGAAGTATACCTTGCAAACAGAAAAGTACAGAGTACAGATCATCAGCATTCACTCTGATGAATTTCTACAAAGCCCACACTCTTGTGTAATGTCCATAGTTCATAAAACAGAACATTATCACACTCCCAAGAGCCCTACACCAACCAAAAAATCCCCTAAGCTTAATCATACCCTCTCTTCTGACATGACCAGTCTTACCTAGTATTGAACTTCATATAGATGGAATCATATGTTTTGATCTCTGGGTTCTAAGTAAAGTAATTTTTTGTTTATATTTATTTTTCATCGATTTGAAAAGCAAAGTGAGAGAGAGAGGGAATGAGAGAGAAACTTGGATCTTCCATCTGCTGGTTCACTCCCTAAATGCCTGAAAAAAAACCACTGTGGGGCCAAGTTGAAGCTAGAAGCCTAGAATTCAATCCAGATCTCCCATATAAGTGGTAGAGACCCAAGTACTTAAATCATCATGCACTGCCTCCCAGGACATGCATTAGCAGGAAGCTGGAATCAGAAATGGAGAGGGGCTCAAACCCTGGGACTCTGATATGGGCAGCAGGAGCCCCAAGTGGTGTCTTAACTACTGAGCCAAATTGACAGAAACAGGGGACTGCTGAGGCCTGAGCTGATAGTCAGGGACATAGAGGGCCCAAGAAACAAAACACTGCACTACTCAACAAGAGAAACTGAGAACAAAACAGGATGCAGCCTTAGAGGGACCCACCCAGCTCCAGCTCTGCAGCAATGAGGTCATCATTGACTGACTGACATGTTTGCAAGCTCACAGCCCAGAGGACGTGAGCCCCTGGACAACTTTCCCTGAACAGTATCCCCGCTCAGGAACCTCTCCCACCGTGGGAGCTTTCCTTGGCTTCAATAAAACTTTGCTCCTCTACTCGACTTCTTCGTCCATGTCCTCACCGTTCGTCATCACAGGACACGAACCCCAAGAGCCAGAACTACAGTCTCCTGAAACACTTCTTGGGGCTCACCCAGGACCGTCAGAAAGTTCAGTAAAGAAGGACTGCTTCTACTTCTCTGTTTTCGGGCTGGAGTGGGGGTTGCTCTCCACTACAGCCGTTTCTCAGTTAAAAACACTGGGCCTCTGTCAGCCAGTTAAAGGCGGTTAAGCCATCACTGTCGCCTCTCAGAGTCTGCATTAGCAGGAAGCTGGAATCAGGAGCAGAGTTAGGACTTCAATCCAGATACTCCAACGTAGGACACAAGCATCCTAACTGGTATCCTAACCATTGTGCCTAAAGCCTACCCGGGGTTCTCAATTTTAGGTTTCTGAAGTTCATCTGTATTGTTGCACACAGCTGTGTTTTGTTCATTTTTATCAATACATAAGAATCCATCATATGTACATACCACAACTTATCCATTCTACCACTGACAGGTGTGTGGAAGACACAAAACACAAGGGGCAGCCTCACTTTCTACCATTCTGCTCTCACAGTAACTAACCCAGTCCAGTGGGATGAGAACTCACCTTGAGAATTAACCCGGTCTGTCAATAATGGCATTAATCCCTCTTACTTACCTAATCACTTCTTAAAGACCCCCCCCCTCCATGCTGAAGCACTGAGAATTAAGGTTCCAACACATTAACTTTTGGGGGGACACACTAAAACGTAGCACCATGTACACTCATTTCTATTGAATAAGGACACCTAGGAAAGGAACTGTTGGGTGGTATACACAAAACCATATATAAACATGCACATATGTATGCCTTTTTAAGAGGTTTTATTTATTTATTTGAAAGGCAGAGTGACAAAGATCTTGAAATAAAAAATCTAGGAGCTAAGAATTCAATAAATTAAATTAAAAATAAAGTTGAGATCTAACAGCAGAATTGAGTAGGCAGACAAAATAATGTCTTTTAAAAAAGTCTTTTTTTTTAATTTTTAAAGGCTTCTTTATTTTTCATTTGTAAAGGCTGAGTTACAGAGATAGAGGGAGAGAGAGAGACATCTTCCATCTGCTGGTTCACTCCCCAAATGGCCACAATGGCTGGAGCTGGGCCAGACCAAAACCAAAAGCCAGGAGTTTCTTCCAGGTCTCCTGTATGGGTTCAGGGGACTCCTATGTGGGTGCTGGGCCATTCTCCGCTGCTTTCCCAGGCACATTAGCAGGGAGCGGGATCAAAAGTGGAGCAGCCAGGACTCAAAGCAGCTCCCATATGGGATGCAGGCACCACAAGTGGCAGCTTAACTCATTGTGTCAGAGCACTGGCCCCCTCCAAAATATTTTATTTATTTGAAAGGCAAAGTGACAGAGAGAGAGAGAGAGAGAGAGAGAGAGAGAGAGAGAGAGAGATTGTCCATCCTCTGGTTCACTCCTCAAATGCCCACACAAGCTAAGGGTAGGCCAGGCTGAAGCCAGGAACCAGGAGCTCCATCCTGGTTTCTCACATGGGTGACAGGAACCCAAGTACCTGGGCCACCATATACTGCCTTCCAGGTGCAACAGCAGAAGCTGCATCAGAAGAGCAGAGTAACTGGGACTTGAATCAAGGCACTCTTGTACAAGATTCAGGGTCCCAAGCAGCAGCTTAACCCCTTGCGCCACAATGTCCACCTTAACGTACACATAGACACAGCCAGTTTTCCAATGGAATTGTACATATGAGCATTCTCGCTGCTGTATATTGTCAGAAACACTTAGCCACTTACCATTTTTGTCTTTTTTATTTTAATCATTCTGGTAGGTATGCAGTGGTATTGCATTGTTTATTGTTTGTTTTGTTTAGAGAGAAGAGAAATCTTCCATCTGCTGGTTTACCCCTCAAATGCCTGCAACATCTGGGGCTGGTCAGGCTGAACCCACGAGCTAGGAACTCACTCCAGGTCAGTTTCACATTGGTGGCAGGGACCCAACTACCTGAGCCACACCAGCGGCCCCTTCCAAGGATGTGCAGTAGCTAGAAGCTGGAATCAGAAGCAGAGCTGGACTTGGGTCAGGCACTGGGCGGTGGATGTGGGTGTTGCAGGCAGTGTGTAAACTGCTGCACTAAACACCTGCCCTGCATTGTAGCTGGTTTTTTTTTTTTTTTAGATTTATTTTTTATTTGAAAGGAAGAATGACGGAGAGACAGAGTGAAAGGGAAACATAACGAGATTTTCTACCTACTGGTTCACTCCCCAACTAGCCACAAAAGCCAGGGCTTGGCAGAAGCCAGGAGCCAGGAACTCCATCTGGGTCTCCCACATGAACGGCAGGGGCCCAGGCACTTGGACCATCTTCTGCTGCCTTCCCTGGTGCATTAGCAGGGAGCTGGATTAGAAGTGGAGCATCTAAGATTTTAACCAGTGCTGATATGGGATGCTGGCATCACAAGGAATAGTTTAACCTGCTGCACCACTATACTGGCCCTACAACGTAGTTTTTGCTTTTGTTTTTTTGTGGGTTTTTGTAAATAGATTTATTTATTTATTTATTTATTTATTTGAAAGTCGGAGTTACACAGAGAGAGGAGAGGCAGAGAGAGAGAGAGAGAGAGAGAGAGAGAGAGGTCTTCATTCCACTGGTTCACTCCCCAATTGGCCACAATGGCTGGAACTGCACCGATCCGAAGCCAGGAGCCAGGAGCTTCTTCCGGGTCTCCCACATGGGTGCAGTGGCCCAAGGACCTGGGCCGTCTTCCACTGCTCTCCCAGGCCATAGCAGAGAGCTGGATCGGAAGTGGAGCAGCTGGGACTCGAACGAGCGCCCATATGGGATGCCAGGTTAATGTCAGAACATTAACCTGCTGTGCCACAGTGCCGGCCCCTACAATGTAGTTTTCTAAAAACTTACTTCATAGGGGCGGCTCTGTGGCATAGTGAGCTAAACATCCGCCTGCAATGCTGGCATCCCACATGGGCACAGGTTCGAGTCCTGGCTGCTCCCACTTCCAATCCAGCTCCCTGATGATGGCCTGGGAAAGCAGTGGAAGATGGCCCAAGTGCTTGAGCCCCTGCATGCACATGGAAGACCTGGAGGAGGCTCTTGGCTCCCAGCTTCAGATCAGCTCAGCGCCAGCCGTTGAGGCCACTTGGGGAGTGAAACATCGAATGGAAGATCTCTCTCTCTGTCTCTCCCTCTGTCTGTAACTATACCTCTCAATCAAATAAATAAATCTTTAAAAAACTTACTTTATTCAAGTGTCTATAGATAAAGGTACATGTATCATAAATGCAGAGTTTAATAAACTTTCATGAACTGAACACATTGTGATTTGGCAACCAAATCCAGAAACAGTGCATAACCACTATTCCAAACACTTCCACTACCCTGCCTTCTACAGTCTTCAAACTCATAGATTAGTTTTGACTGGAGTTTGTACTTTGTGTGAATAAAATTATAAAGAAGGCACCTTTGTACGACTGATTTATATGCTCAACACCAGTAGTATATCAGAGTTCTGCTTGTATATCTTTTCACCAGTACTTGATATTTTCTATCTTTTAACTTACTCTGGTGGACAAGTAATGTATTACACTATCATTTTGCATATCACTCAGACCAAGTCCTTCATGTGGGTACCAGGAACCCAACTACTATAGCCATCACTAGCTGCCTCCCAGATTGTCCATTAGTAGGAAAGTAGAATTTGAAGTGGAACTGAAATTCAAATCCTTGCATTTTG